GTTTTAACACTACACGCTTGACCTCTTCAAGTCTCGGGTTAACTATTATCTTTCCAACATAACCTTATAAACTTCACTTCTTGCCATTTTTTTACACTCCTGTAACACTACATAGTAACCCTCAACCTTGAGTGGTGGTTTTTGGACCTTGTATAGAGTAAACATTAGTGTGTATGTATTTTATATATGTAAAGAGAGAGACTGGCTGAGTGTTTTTAATTTTGCGTCTTTGCTCAGATGGCAGAGATGAATGAGATTCTAGATGCAGATTGCTGATTTTTATGAATTTGGACTGCATTCAGAAGTCCTGCTTCAGTTCCATTATAAATATTAATGATCATATATTACTTCTGGTAAAAAAATCTACACTGTACCCTGATTTGATTAAATTTACTAAATGATAATGCAAGTAATAATTAATGTTTGTTCCTTGATAATTGTTTAAAACAAACAAAAAAAATAAAATAGCTTAAAGTCAAATACCAGAATATAATAGTTAGATTTTTCTGAATGTTAAAATATTTTAAGATTGAAAATAAGTTTTAGTTTTAATGCTTTTAAGTTTCTGTATGATGAGAAAAGGCAAAATCAGAAAAGAATTGAATGGATGTTATCATCTCTCATGACAGTCAAATAAACTCAGTCAGTATTGAAAGATATTTTTCACACAAGTTTTCATATAATTCTATTTTCTCTGCAATTAAAGTTTTTGCTTAAGTTAATTCAATAATTTTTACTTTGAAGATAAAAAATAATTTATGGCATTTGTTTAGATGTTTTAATTTTTTTTTAAATTCTGTTTCTCATCCTTTCAGGGCTGTGATTTTTAGCTCAATCAAATTTTATTTAAGTTTATTATTAAAATATTTTATTAAGTTTATTTTTTTTTTTAAGATACCAATTGTTAAAATCTAATTCAGAAGATTTTGAAGAAATATCTTCATTGGAAATGTTGTACAATTTGAGCATAATTTTTGTCTACCAGCAACAAGTTATGTCAAAATACTTTCAAGAAACTTTTTATATGAATTCTTTCAAATCATTTTAAATAATTTTTATTTTGAGGACTTTGATTGTGTCTCATCTGACAGTAAACCAGAAATCCACATTTTCTTGTCAGGTTATAAATTTAAAACTCATTTAATTCACTCTATTTGCCAACCTATAATATAATTTATAATTAGTTTGGTGTATGTCTTACTGTGAACTGCATTGAAGCCCCCCATACCTTTCCTTTTCAACATGGCCTCATAATACAAATGTATTGAATAAAATATTTATGTAGTTTTTATTTAAATGTGTGTCATATACTCTAGCAAATATGGTGACTTTATTATTTGATTGAATTTTATTTTTGAAGAATATTTTGTCTTTCATTAAATATCTGATAATAATAAATAATAATTTTACTATTCTTGAAATATATCTATTTTCATATCTGTTGCTTAGCAATCAAAAAGAGGCAGCTGAAATTTCTTGGATAGATAATGAGGAAAGAAACCTTAATGAATTTAATATTCACAGGACATATTGATGGCAAGAGAAGTGGGGGGAATAGCAAATAATCTAGCTGATGAGTTTGAGTGATTAGATACAACACATGGGTTCTCAAACTTTTACCTCCTACACAGTGCTTGATTTATATATGATATGGACTGCATCCCAGGGGCCCCAAGACTAGCATGTGCTCCCAAGGGCCCTCTAAGCATTATCTAAAAATATATCTTTATTTTTGTTATAGATACGTGGGGGAGGAGAACATGCATAATGAAGAGGGCCCCCAAATTCTATTAGCCCAGGGGCCTCTTAAGGCATAAATCTGGCCCTGCTCCTATATACCATTTTGTCCTGCCTGACACTGTACCCTTTGAGAAGACATTTGATGTTATAATACTCAAGGTCAAAATACAGCAAACATTTTGAGTTAGGCATAGGATGAATAAAGCAAATACAAAAAAGGAATTCTCTTTTTATCTAAGTGGGGAAAAAAGGACTGAAGTTTTAGGAACATTTAATCATGACAATGAAGAAAATGTTGAGGACACAAGAGACCCACTGAATTTTTATTGCATAAACTTGTTTCAGAACCACTGATTTAATATATATCAGTAGACAAAATTTATTACTTTCATTGCGCAGTATGATGTGGAAGATCATGGCTGTCTACAACTTCCTGTCCTGTGTAATTATATACCATATTTCCTACAATATAATGCTTATTTTTTCTTTAGAATTTTATTTAAAATCACTGTGCATTTTACCATAAAAGTCAGTTTTGGGCAAGCCAATTGGGGTGACTAGTATCCACACACCTTTAATTGATCAATGAATGAAACCTGTCATTCGAATTGTAGGAAATGCAGTACTTTGTTGCTAAATGGAAATTTTAAGGTATCTTTAATTAAAATAGCATTCAAATAAAATTTAATTTACAGTCATCAGATTTTCACTTTTCAAAATGGTGGTTTAAAATATTTTACTAGAAGACTCCAATTGCATAATTTATTTTGCAATAATTCTACGATAACTTAATCATTCATTCAGGGGAATTTATTGAGCTCACAAACATCCCATTCCCTGTATTTGAAGTCCCTTTGTTTTGATGTGTTAATCTCTCTTCATCTTTGGTTGATGTAGCTAGAATTGGAAACTGGTGAGTCCTTTCTGCTGTACATTTGATGACTAACCCAATCGATAAAATTCTCAAAATAAAGGATGAGCACAGGTAGTTAAATAAAATCCTTTACATGAGACAATTCAGAAACATACCGAGTTGCAGCAGCTTGAATATTTTTTTAAATGCTTTTGCCTCTTTAACACATTCATTGCTACTTTGAATACTTAAATATACAGTGTAACAAAATAAGTATATCTGATGCTCAGTGCTGCAAGGCATTAAGTTTAATGCATTGTAGTAGTTATTTATATTGTCTCAAATAAAACTGTGGAATGAATGCACATGGCAATATTTAACATGCCACAATACCAGGGCTGGATTATGATGTTTTGGGACCCCTACATTAATGAAATTATGGGACCCACCTCAGAATTCTAACTCACCTGCACCCATCTAGAATATATTTTAAGTGTGATATATTTTAGTGACAGTTACATAGCTTGAAGTAAATTTACTGCAAATTCATTAAATAAACTAAAATAACTGTATTTTGTTTGTCAATAAAGAATATTCTTTAAGAAATACCACTATTTTACTATTTATTGCAAATCAAATTAGCACATACTTCAAAATAAACATAGTAAATAAAAAAAAAATTTATAACCATCATTATAGTGATAAAACAATGAAAATAAATGACTTTGTCATATTGATATCATTTCATTTTATGAAATTATTTAGAAGTTATAACATCTAGAAAATTAAATAAAATAAAAATTTCAAAGATTTAATCATTCTGAACAAAAAATCAAACATGTTATTACTTAAAACACAATGACACAAACTAAAACACGAGTTTGTCATATTGATATCATTTAAGTTTATGAAACTATTTAGAAATAACCTCCTAAAATTAAAATCATTGCTTTATAAAACTTGAGGGGGTCTAGGATAAAGGATAATCTGGCCGTGCAGAAGGCACACATGTCTTTTGTGACAGTGAGCATGTAAAAGATTTACCATCTAAGAGTGCCTAAATGTTTAATAATGTGAAATTTTCTGTCTGAAATTCTTGGTTGAGAAGTTATCAATATTTACATTTAGACAATTGTCTTTATCTTTGTTGACATCATAACAATGTTTCAACCATCATGCCTTCCAAAGTTCATGTGCTTTTTGATCAGGCTAACCATTTATTTAATCTACAGTGGTAGATTGTTCTGTCTGTCTGTATCTCAAAATATCATGTGTTTCTTTTTAAGTACTGCTCAGAAACAGGGCAAGAAATAACTGAGCAGTATTAAATAAGAACAAGATAAGATATCCGTCTACACCAGCGTTTTTCAAATGATGCACCCAGGTGCACTAATGTGCACTGAAAGGTAGCCAGGCATGCCCTAAGTTAGCAAAAAAGTAATTTATCATTTATTATATTTTTAAAAGCACAAACACCAGGCTTCCATCTCTGAATTAAGTCTTTGTCATTTGATGTTTTAAACTGGATTCTAAAATTTTAATCTTTCGATAATAGATTAAGAAATAGATCAAATTTAAAATTAAATACATTGATGGAGAAGTGAAACTATATTTATCGCAGAAGGCCTAAAAATGTCCAAAGCACATCAAGTGCAGTTTTCAGACAAGCATACTTAAATATACAATGTTACAATAATGTAATTGAATGTCTTAAAAATAAATGCTTATTTCAAGTTACTTTATTATTTTCAAATTTCATAACTAATTTTTCCATATTAAAGTGCACCCCAGAGTTTTAGTTATACTACAAGTGTGCTCTGAAGTAAAGAAGATTGAGAAACACTGCTCTGCACGTATAGCAGAACAAGAATAATCTAATCCCTATAAATTAAGTAAAGGGTTCAATTCAAAATTTCCTGAAGATTTCTTGGATTGAGAGAAAAACACAGAAGGGCATAAGGATTGAAATTTTGTTACAATAACAACAAAGATGAGGACTTAGTCAAAATAATATGAAAATATTCATATGATTTTCTTTTATTCTACAATAAGAAAGTGGGGGACAGCAAAAGTACTCAACTGGTAAACTTTGAACAGAAATTTGAATAAGAAAAATGTAAAATAATCTTTATGTAATTTTCAATACTTTTTTAAAATTTTTATTTGTTTATATCTTACAAGTGAAAGCCACTTGGTAAGTCTCAAATTTTACAAGCAGCAAACATATTTCACAATTTAATGTCTCCATAAAAAAACCTTTTCAGTATATGCATTCATATATCAGTTAAAGCAGCAATACATTTTCTTGACTTCAACCTATGCCATTATTTTTTTATTTTATTTATTTTTCAAGTGTACCTACTTAACTGATTATATTGTATTGTTTTTTTTTTCCCTTGCCTTCCAGTTATCCTCGGATAGAATTTTTTCAGTCAAATCAAGTTCGAAACATGATGGTTGACATACTCTTTATTTATGCAAAGCTGAATACAGACCTGTCCTATCGACAGGTTACTATAATTTTGTTACTTCTCCTTTTTGTCTCTTCTGCAGCTCACCCATTGTGTGCAACTATTGCCAGTGTCACCTCGTGGCTGTGTTAGTTACTTTAGCTGCAGCATGTTAGCTAACTTTAGTCTTGTCAAATGTTGCATGCAGTGTCCCAAGCCAAATAAGACATCAGTTCAGTCTCAATAACAATAAAATAACTACTCCTTCCTTTTAAGTCTCTTAAAAAATGTGATAAAATTTAGTAAGAGATAATTTTTTTTTATTTTCCTTATACACACATACACATGAGTTATGATAGTAGAGCACCTACTATTTACCTGAACCACGTATAATAACTGATCTATTGAAGCTAGGTTGCTAACCATTACTCTATGGTAGAAGCTCAATTTCTCTCTAGCTTTCTCTCCTCCCTGGCACTTATATATATATATATATATATATATATCAAATAAATAAATGTACATGCAAGTGTACACACACACACATATATATATCCTTTGGTGTAAATAAAACAGTATTCAATGCAAAATAACAGAGCAATTAAGTATATATTAATAAATATACATAATATTCCATGGCAACAGTATGGCTCAGAGTTCCATGCACTATGCAATCATCAGGTATAAATAAACAGGCAGTTATCTGGTTAAAATTTCTAGGACTCGTGGTATTAGTTGGGTAAACTATTATTTAATTGTACGATAATTTAAATTTAGGTTCAAATTTAGATTTATAATTAAAAATTTCAATAGTGGGGAATGCTGGTATCTATGCATTAAAAGGGTACATTCTCTCTCTCTCTTTAAATATATATATATATATATATATATTAATGCTCTGTAAATTTACATTGAGCACTATTTTGTAAAAAATAAAAATATCAATAAGAACACCGGATTACATATCTTACTGTTCTTTCTTTTTTATTTAAATATATAAAATATATATATATATATATATATATATATATATATATATATATATATATATATATATATATATATATATTATTTTAAATGGATACCCATATCTGAGTAGATGCTCTGTTTTTATTTATTAAACAATATATTTGTTTCCATCTACCAGCCTGAATATAATTTTATTAGAAAATATGCACTCTCCTAGGGGGAAAATGTCATTAGATCTGACATGTTTTAACTGCTCAACTACAAAGAACCTACTGGCCAAACAAAGCCTGAATTGTGCTTTTAAACACAGACCTTTCCTGATTCTCGAAATATACACTTGCTCAGTTTTGTATATTCTGATGAAAGATGAAACATGGCAAACAAAAACTTTTTTCCAGATTGGCATAAATTTTCCTAAAATTGTTCTTGAGATATAAAAATTTATTAATTCAACCTCTTTAATCCAGAACCTTTCGGGAAAAACAAATCCTAAAACCAAAAAATAATATAAACTTATCTTGAATGTGTAAATATGCAGCTATATATAAGAAATAAGCAAGACTGTATCACCAAAACACCCTGTTGACAACTGCTGTGGAAAGATGTAAATAATGTGTGGGGCTACTCTCGAAGCAGGTGAGCAAACTTATGGCAGCTGATCCAATAAGTGCTGGAGCATGGGCGTTACCAGACCACAGTGTACCAGATTAAAGGGGTCAGACTGCATATCATTTTCCATATATAAAGGAATTGATCAAAAATCGATTTCTCATTAATATATTATATTTAGTAGATACCTGTGTTTGAATAGATATGTTTTTTTTTGGGGGGGTGGAGGGTCTTCTTTTTAACAGATGTTAATTATTCTATTAAAAAAAACAGATGGATTCAATAATTTGACATTATTTATTACTATAAACAGTATTTTTAATTTTTTATTTAGTGGTTACATGTATACGAGTAGACATTAATGTTTTTATTAAACATTTTTTTTTAATACTGATGTTAATATCAACCCGCCTAGAGATTGGAAGTCTTATTGGAGAAAATGTGCATCCCAACAGCAACTGAGCCTCGTTTTCCTGTGATGGCTTCCCATAGCTTAATGGTAAAACATGCTTGGCTTAAAAGTGATTTCCCAAATTAAAAATGGAATGTAAAATTGTTTCCTGTTGAAATGCACATTTTCATTAATAAGATTGTTGATTTCTAAGCCAGTAGACATTAAATAAAAAATGATATCTATTCAAATGTGTACTAACCAAATATAATGCACACATACACACACACACACACACACACACACACACACACAAAGACTAAAATAAAATGAAAAGAGTTAATTTATGCAAAAAGACTTAAATAAAATTTTTAGTAACTGATGTCAAAAGATAATTCTCAAAATTATGGATGCCTCTAATGTAATAAAATTATCAACTCATTATTTATGTTATACATCACCAAGACAAATGCAGAACCTAAAAATGTCAAATCAGTAGAAATCATTGAATAACTGAATCCAAATAATTCTATACTAATTTTTAACATTGGGTTTTTCAGGTTGATGAGGTTTTGTTTAACCCACTAATATTTTGATGCTTGCAAGTTGACCATTCCCTTTTTCTTTTTTTTTTCTTTTTTTTCTTGAGCTTTATACAATTTAGCTCTAATGGCCTTTCATATGATGATCAGCGCTATACAATTTCTAATCTGATTTTTTTTTTTTTTTTTTTTTTTTTACAAATAAATTTTTATTAAAATAAAAACAACAATTTAGGTTTAATACTGATGGGTGAATTATTAAATTAATTTATAAAATATCAACAATTGTTTATTAAAAGTTTCTAAATATGTGATAAAAGTATTTCTAAATTATATAATTTCTAAATACTCTAAACCGCAATAATTATGTAAGTTCAGGATTAGCTATCTCATCTTCACAAGAAAAAAAACTTTCATGTTCCATTTTACTTACTGAAAAAAAGTTTTTTTTTTTTTTTATGATTTTTCAAAAAAAATGTTCATGTATCTTTACATTGTATGAAGTGTGACTGAAAATTTTTGAGAATTTGACTATAAATAAAAATACTTTTTACCCTAATATTTAGTTTTCACAGTTTCCTACAAAGTCTTCCTCTTTGGTATACCAATGATTCCAAAAAGGATAAAAGCAAAAAGTCTATATTACATTTGATTGGCATAAACTCTTCAAATTCTCAAATTTTTAGGTATTATATAAATGAACCATTCCAAAGCCAGAAATAAACTTTACATCAAATATGAATGCATGTAATATATACACAGATCATATAAATATTTGTCTTCCTAAAAGATTATAAATATAATTTCTTTTAATGATTGCTGGCTTATGGAAATTGTTAAAGTTATGGAAGCTCCTAAATGTAACAAATCTATCCAGTCAGGCTAACATTTCAGAATACAAAACCAGATAACTCAGAATGTAAAAATTAAATCCCCAAAATTGTTTATTTTAAAGTAACAAAAAAAATTTCTGATGCCTTAATATTGGCTTTCATGGCATGCCCTTTGTATGAATGAGTGGTGGATGTGGCAATCTGCTTATTGCTTTGTCTGCCTCTTTTTAGGGGTGCTAAACTACAAAAATTATTCCACCCCCAAATTTTTCCCTGTTTTTTGCAAGTAAACCAGTTATCTTAAGTAGAGCCATTTTTCATATATAAAATAATTGTTTATTTACTTTTGGACTCCATCAAATTAACTTCAGCTATGAGAGTATGTGGTTTTCTTGTCTTTTTTTCAAATGTGTTCAGTCTTTTTTTTTTCCCTAAGATGTATGGAAGTTTGCCTTTCCCCTTGTGGATTGGATGTTTATCTAACTTCCTGTCATCAAGTTTGTGTACATCTTAAGTTCAGTTTGGTCCACTTCTTGTTTATGTCAGCCAATCCACCAAAATCATTTAATGACCAATTCTGCAATTGGTGGCTATGAGGTCCTCTTCTAGATAAAACATCTGAGGCACCTAGCTCTTTTGACATTTTCATATGATACCAAGTACAAAGATTACTTTGGTATCTCTTTAGGTGAATCCAATATATATTGAGGTCACCACAGATTCTAATGGGCAATAAATTTGATTCAGAACTCTAGTATTTATGGTATGAATTGCATACTAAAACTGAAATAAACAAATGGTAGCCATGTTCATTACATGTTTTGTTACATGACAAGAAACTAATTTTTATTGTGCAAACATTTAATACCCCAAAATATTTAAAAAAAAAGATTTCAACTGAATTTTTAGAATGAAATTTAAGTCAGGTTGACAATATTTCAAAAGTGAATGTTATCAACAAGAAAACCTTTTGCATCTTGCTAAAACTGATTCTCTTTTATTCATTCATTTTTACAAACTAAAATATTAAAACCACTTCACAAAGTAAATGCTGCACTGAATATTTTGTCGTGTTTGGCTTTGGACCAATAATCTTTCAGCTTCACTTTTCCCTTCAGTTTTGTTCCACTTCATTCTGGTTTCTGCTGGTCACCTGAAGAGAATAATCTTTTGTTGCATCCATTTTTAACTCTTTATTGGTGTTGTTATGCTTGCACTCACATCTTCAATGCAATTTTGTTATGTTACATGTATTTCCATTTTGTTGTATTGTATTTTTTTTTTGTTTTGTTTTAATTTTTTATTTGTATCTCTGGTTTGATGTGGGTTCGGATTCTGTTTCATCTACAGGTTCAAAGCAGACAGCAAAAGGAAAGACCTACCTATTTGTTAAATATTATTTGCTAACCCTGCCAATTTTCTTTGGCTTTGCTTTTTGATTACCATAAAAAGTTAGAGGATCTACAATTATGCGAGTTGATCTTTAAAAGTATTGTTGGATCACATAATAAATCTTAAATAGAATTATTATAATTGTTTTATTTTTTTTTTTTTTTTTTACTTATTATAAAACAAAACAATACTTAATTTTTGCTATTACAACTATAGTTACATCTTTATGTATAAAGATACACACACACACACACATTCATTATTTGTACTTGGTTTGATTCTTTTTCAGAATTCCCTCAGAGGATCAGTTATTTTCTCTCTCTCTCTCTCTCTCTCTGTTCATATCTCTCTCCAGCTTTATGCTTTTTTTGTTCTTAGCAACATCATTAATTAAAGGATTTCTCAAAAGATTACATAAGCAACATAATTTTTTTTTTTTAGTGAGTAGGTCTATGCATAAGACCGCAAATTGAACTCCATTTTGCAACCAACCAGCAAATGACTTGGATGTCAGTTTCAAATAAATTTTAGATTATTACTAATGTAAACTTATTAGTGAATAAGCTAAAGTCATCTTTGGTATTTTTGAAAACATACATTTTTATTTTTCTCTATCTCTTATATGGTGTGCACATAGAAATCAACACTACATGGTGACATATAGCCTGAAGATGACTTAATGTATGAAACTGACAGTTATAATACAGTGTTCATTCCTATGTCTACACAGTCTATATCTATAAACACTATCTCTGATATTGAGCACATTTTTATAATTATAGAAAATTTTGAATACTCACACACACACACACACACACATATATATATATATATATATATATATATATATATATATATATATATATATATATATATATGGTATATATAATAATATTGTGGATGAAATAAGATGGCTCAATAAAATAAAGAGGTTGTTGCGGACTGGTGATTGTGTTTGAATTGATCAGAAGGAATTTCGAGGCTGTGTTCTACAATATTCGTCCACAACAATTATTTAGAACAAATACTTGGAACAAATCATGCAAATAAAGTTGAAAACAAGACAAAAGTTGAATGCATAACAATAACATCAATTTATATACAATTTATACAAATATTCAAAGTTGTTTAAAGTTGCATACCTTTATCTGCTTGAGAAAAATAGATTGTTAGTTACTGATACTTGTTATGTAGTGAGAAATATCACTTTGAAAGTATAGTAAGTGAAGTTTGAGAAATGTTCTAGAGAGAGATAGTGTGCCCAAAGGTTGCTGAGTCAGAGAATATTTTTGCACGGCAAAGTCAGTTTTGACTGGTGTGGAATTGATGGGCATCTCTCTAGTTGTGGAGGTCTGACTGTCTAAAGTTGGTAATTGTCTTTAACGTCTGGTCAGCAATGATTAAGATAGGAGTCGGTGAAGGTTACATCTTGGCACTTGGTAACTACTACTCGAAAGGTTCACATGTTCGGTTTTTATAATGGCTGAGTGGCTCCTAGCATATGAGCGGGAAAACAGATTGGTCGCGTGCAGGCGGTTTGATTGGTTGGAACTGACCAATCAGCAAGCCAGATTGGAGGTGATTGACCAATGAATACTTGTTATATTGTCTGAAAGTAGAATTTGGCTTACCAGATAGGAAGAGTGCATTTCCTACAAAGAGGTAAGGCTGGTTGTGTTGTGGGAGATTCCACAAGGTAACCAAATTTTATGGACACACACCTCTCCCAAGGCCTACAGGTGTTTTGCAAACTTTTAGGCAGATGAAATGCACATGTATACATATATACACACACACACACACACACACACATATATATATATATATATATATATATATATATATATATATAAAAGAACTTATATTTAATTAATAAACAAATTGATATATTTCTATTTCAACCACGTACGTTCGTTCGTTCGTTTGTTCTTGTAAAATAAAAATCCTTTTTTCTGATGACATTGGTTCATCAGCAAAACATATCAAAGTATAAATTTTATATATATATAACTACCCATTTTAAAATATTTATTTTAATAAATTATAAGTTTTTAACTATAATTTTTACAAGAAATAGATATGAGAAGAAAGCATTTAGCATGAAGTTTTATTTGAAATTTGATATGGCCACCAGATTTCACTACCAGCTTCTCAAGCCACCCAGGAATCATGTCAACTGATTTCACTAGGAACTCTTGCTTGTGGTATGGAAGACATAACTTCTTGTATTCACCCTTCAATTTCTTCCAAAATATTCGTTTGGTTGGTTGAAGGAGCAAGTCTAGACTTGCTCCTTCAACCAACACCAAAGAAAAAAGACACAATGTTAAGTCAGAACTCCTAGCTGATCACTCATACATAAAATATGGAGTTAATTTTCAATCACCCTGTGTATCTCTCTCTCTCTCTCTCTCTCTCTCTCTCTCTCGTGTATATATACAAATCAACTACTGCATGCTAACTTAAGTTTCATTAGTCCAGTATCAAATCATTTCAGATGCATTAAAATGATTTTGACCATTACAAAATAAAACACTGATTGAAAAATAATTCCTCACGGTTTACAACACCATCAAGTGAAATTAACCCATTGACTATGAAGGCTTAATTAGTAGGTAGATAAATTCTTGTTGATCTGCTAATTACTCTGACTGAAAATTGAGGGAAATTTTGTGACTTAAGTAGCAGAATGTTAAAGGTTAAAAAACGTCACAAAACTACAAAGATTTTTAGTAGAATTGCTTTAATTTGATTTTGAAGAGAAGAATCAAGATTTCTTCTGCCAATATTATTGCATATTGTTTAATCCCATCCTCTGATTATAGATTAAAGCCCTTAATTTTAACTTGATAAATAAGAATATTGTTAATAATCAGCAGGTGTATATGTATGGGGCATATTGGTATTCATCCAAATCAAGATTATAATGAAGTAATCATAATGAAAATATTAATTTCTGTTTGAATTTCTGGGATGAAGAATTACACTATTTACATTCTGACTAGTTTTCTCATCTTTGTTGTTATCACAACGTTTCATCCATTGTTCCCTCCAGCCTTCATCAGGTGTATATCAATCCAGGTAACCTACAGGGAATTCTGAACTGAACACTTTTTTTAATCTATAGGGGTAGACTGTTCTCATTTCACTGTAAAACAAGTTGACATGAAGTGGAAAGATTATATTGAATCAATTGCTAAGTCTGCAGCTAGGAAATTTGGTTCACTGTGTCGTGGTAGACAATTTTTCTCGACATAATCTATTTTACATATTTATAAGTATACCATTCGTCTTTGCTTTGAATATTGCTTCCACATCTGTTTTGGTGCTCCTGCTATATATTTAGAGATTTTTGATAAAATCCAAATAAAAATCTGCAATGTTATCAGCCCTGACCTGGCATCTCACCTGTAGTCTCTTTGAATTTAATCATTATCTTCTCTTTTTAATAGTAGTTTTTCTCATATTCTTTAACACCCAGTAACTCCTTGCATCTTAGTGGCTTTATTGTCTTGCTTATTTCATCTACTGACATGCATACTTGAGAAAATTATATGAAGAAAATGTGCCCTCTGGCAGGATTCTAACCTCTATTCTCATTTGCAGAAAAAAATCATTGTCTAATCTGGCATACTTTTACTGCTTGTCTATAAAGAGTGTTACAATAAAGCGAGGTTCTATTTTGCATTTAAAACACACTTACTCATTAAGATTTTTACTCAAAACACAGATCTGCTCAGTTTCATATCCGGAATGTAAATAAAGCAATTCTTTTTACCCTATAACTTGCAGATCATTTTTCATTTGTCACTGTTTTCACCTGTTGAAGATTGCAAACTAACATGACTTTCTTGCTATTTATTATGATCTTGAGCAAGCTTGTTTAGTTCCTGCCACTCATTAGTTGATAATCACTGAATTATATTATTGCTTCTCCTCTGTTTCTTCTTCTTCCTCTTCCACTACTTCTTTTTCCAGGTGCCATAGCTGCTAAGATTCAATTTAGTGAGTTCTGCAGTAGATCTTTTAATGTGTCCAAATAATTTTTATACATTTGCTATGGATAGTATTGAAGAGTGATGACATATCTAAGGGGAGGGTATTTTAAGTTTGTCTATCATCTGTAATAATGTCGAATATTTCAATTTGAGCTGGAAGTTTTTTGAGTCCATATCATATAATCTAAACTATATAAAACAACAGAAATAATACATATAAGGCAAATCTTTGTTTTATTGTGGATTGGTACTCTTTTTTTTTTTTTTTTTCCAAAGTCAGTCCACCCATGGCTTATTCAGTGTTTTACAGCAACTTCTTGGTCATTCTTGCAAGACAGCTTGTGACCACAATCGCATGCATATACTTTACTCAAAATCATTTTTCAGGGTATTGCAATTTTATTTTTCTACCAATGTGTGATAGATATATATATGTGTGTGTGTGAATGTGTGTAAGCATATGCATACAAATTCAAACAGTAATAAATGAAAATTTAATTAGAAACATAACCTCTTATAACCCTAATACTTAAGATACCACCAAATCAGAAAACAAAACCAAATAATGGACAAGTGAAGACATATATAGATATTTACCTTATCATTTAAGTATTAAAAAAAACAACCTTGCACTAATTAAAAATGCAAATGAGAAAACCCCTGACAACTGAACAGGGATTATTGGAGGAGTTGTCTATGAAACTCAGTCTGTATGCTGCAGGTAACATCATTAGAGCTAAGTGATAATTTTTATATATATATATATATATACATACACACAATGTGCGATGGATAAATTGTCATCTAAATTAGGCAAAAAATAAAATAACACTGACATCTCATTTTAACAGCTATATTTACCAAAATTACACAAAAATATCTTGAAATACTAAAGAGTAAACTTATTCAATAAAATCACCATTGGCTTCAACCACAGCCTCAAGACGACTTTAGAATCTCCTGCAACTCTTCTGGACAGTCTCCTTGTTTAAGTTGGTGAATGCTGACATAATCCTTGCTTTCAGTTAATGTTTGGTATTACAAGGAGTTTTGTTGGTCTCTATCTCAACTCCGCCTCACACAATAATCAAGGGAGTTGCAGTCTGGGGATTTAGGTCGCGAGATGTAAGGGGTGATGTGGTCACAGAAATTGTCTCTGCATAGTGCAAAGTCCTGATGCTAGAAATAGGGTCTTCCAGCATCCACCCTGTTGACCCAGGGCAGCAGTACCTCATCAAGGCACTTGATGTTGGCCACTGTTGAGTCTGAGGCTCTGTGGGAAGATGAATGGAGACATAACATCACCATCACTAGTGATCACTCCAAACACCATGATGTTGACTGGATATATATTCTTTCCAAATCCTCTGCACTGTCCTCAGATTGTCATCCAAATACTCTGAAATGTTCATATTGGAGCTTCTGGCATGAATGCCAAGCAGTAGAGTATGCTGTTTTTCCAAATTTCTGGCAGAGTGAATTGCATCTTGTTCTTTTTCTCACAGTGGCCAACTGACCCTACGATACTGTGCAGTCAACAAAATCAAAAACAAATAACACACGTGTGAAATTAAAAATATAAAATGGCGACAATTTACCCATCGCACTCTGTGTGTGTGGATATATAGTAAGTTTGCTGGATCTGACCTCTATGGACTTTTTTCTGGAGATGTATAAAGGATATACATTTTGTTTTCCAATACTCTATACCAACTTTTGCAGCATGTGTGTGTGTGTGTGTGTGTGTGTATATATATATATATATATATATATATATATATATATATATATATATATAATATAGTGGACACTGAGGTCAGCATAGTGTTGAAGAGATTGTATTCAAGCATGAAGCACTGTTGCTACTCAGTTTTGACCTTAGTATCAAAATTTATATTTACGCATGTTCTATTTCTGATATTGAGCACTTTTACCCATAAATATAGTATATCTTAAAACTAGCATATATATAACATGAAGATTACTTGAGGCATGAAACTTATACAAATCAACACTGCATAGAGACTATATCCATACAGTCTATATTGAAAAATGTTTTATGCCTAATATTGAACACTGTTCTTCGATAAATATATAAAATTTTAAGCAATATGCACTTACACGTAATTACTAAGAGAGAGACACACTGTTTTTTTTCCTTTTAGAATAAGTTCTCTGGAAAGTATTTCTTTTGATATTTTTCTGGTGTTGTATTTAATTTTTTTTTACTAAATATTCCATTAATGTTTTTCTAAGCATGTTTTTTTTTTTTATTTTTATTATCCTCCTGGACAACTGAGCATGCTTTGTATTCTGTATTTTCTACTCATTGTATAAATTTTTCTCATTTTTCAGATGACACAATGTTAATTTTTATTGAGATTTTATTTTTTCTAGTATGTTTTGGTTACCTGGTTTGTGCAAAAATGAAATTAAGACCAAAATTCAAGTTTCTTGTATAAATTTAAAAATTTCATTTCATGTGTGAATTTGACATTTCATATAGTTCTTCCCTTTTTTTAAAATTATCATCTGTAACTTGAATTCTGGCCTTTTTAATTTATTTAATATTGATTTTTTTTCAAATTTTAATATTTACAAATGGCTTCCCAAGATTAAAAAAAAAAGGAAATTGTTCAACTCGCAATATGGATAATTGTAACAGTGACCCTATATTTTCCAGTGTTCATTCAACTGTTACTTGCTCTCACTGGATTTGCTGCATCACATGTTTTCTTTTTTCTAGTTTTCCTGAGATTCCATTCTTCCAGTCAGATGTCATTCACCTTCTGATGATTAATGTATTGTTTATATATTCTCGCAATGATCAGACTCATTTGTCATACAGGCAGGTTGGTCCTTCTCCTCTTTACTTACAGCTGTCCCCTGGCCTGGGTGATAGCGACATTTATTTTTTTTTACTAATACCTACTCATCAATAACTTTTCATTATGTTTGGCAATAAAGTTGACCAAAGCTAATATCAATTGTAAATTTCAAATTGGCTGAAAAATATTCAACTTCAATATGACCTATATTCGAGCCATACGTTTATTTAAATTAAATTTCTTGTCTTTACTAAATCTATGCACACACACACACACATATATATATATATATATATATATATATATATATATATAGCAGTTAATAAGTTTTTATATTCAACATTATTTCTTATGATTATAAACATTATATTTACTGAGTACACTAGTCTTATTAGACATCAGTTTCTTTTTTAATTTCATTTTTTTTTTCTTTTAAAATAGTGAATTTAATGTCTACCAAAATAGTTCAAAATTTAATTAAAGAAAATGTCTCCTGACAGGATTCAAACATTTATTCTCAGTGTAATTTGGAAAACCACTTTCAGGCTTAGTATGCTTTACTAGTAAAACAGGTTTACAGCCATATCACATTGAAACATTTCCTGTATGAGCACTGAAGTTAATCAACATTGAGCCTGATCAGTACCCAGATGGGTGACTGCTTGTGAATACTTAGGTGCTGTAAGCTTGGGTGTGTGGGTGGTGTAATGGATAATAGCTCAGAATTGTTAACAAGAGAACCAAGTTCCTATTCTAGTTGGGTTAGTTATATTCACTTATGGGTAAATACCTTTGAGAAAGGTATGAATCCACCTCTTCTCTACCCCAGGTTAATTATAAGATTTGTATCACTAAATTATTATCTCCTTCCCATCAAAAGAAAAAAATTCTTGTGATTTAAAAATTTCTGGCTTTAAATAACCTACAAATAGTTCAGCTATAGAAAATGAATGAATCAATCAATCAATTAATGAATCAATTTACCATGGGAAGCTTTGCTTTGCTGTGATTGATTTCCATGATTTTAATGGTAAAGCACACTTGACTTGAAAGTTTCTCGGATCAAAAATGTAACACAAGTTCAATTCCTGTCAGGAAGTGTGTTTCCATTTCGTATGACTTTTGATTGGCCAGTAAACATTGACTTCATTATTTAAAAAACATTCAAGCATCTGTTTTCACTAAATAGAATGTTTTATATATATATATATATATATATAAAAAAGAGAACATAGAAGTCAACACTTAGAGGCGACAGTCTGTTTCATGCAAGATGCAATTGTCAGGCCTGACTATTGCATCTTGCATAAAACAGATTGTCACCTATAAATGTTGACGTCTATGTTCACTTTTATATTTATACATGCTCTATCTCTGATATTGAGCACTTTATCCCATAAATATAGCACATCTTAAGACTATATTTCTTCATATATATATATATATATATATATATATATATATTTCAGAGAGAGTATATCTGTAAAAGGACAATATGAATAAAGACAAAAGGAAAACTTATCCAACTTGTTTTGCCCTCTGAAGGACTTTATCAAGGCCTTAAGTTTTTCTTTTGTCTTTAATTTTATATATATATATATATATAAAAACACATACTAAAAATGTCCCTCAGACACTTTGGTTAACTGTATCCAGAATGAATTTATTTGTAAATTTTACCAGTTTTCAGGTAACTTGGTATTAAATCCAATATATGAGCTCTCTACACAAGTCAACATTTCTATACAATTTGTATTCTTGTAGGATTATGTTCAGATTGTGTAATGAAGACAAAAACTGTCTCTATCATATTGCCTAAACATAATTTGATTTTGTTCTTTTCCATGGAAACTGAATACAATAAATTTTTTTTTAAAAAGCATGGTTTTGTGTATTGTATGAGTCATCATTGGAACTAAATTTATTTTTTCAGTTTCAAACCTTTCATGACTTGCAAGAAATCATGTTTTATTTCATGGAATTGAAATTTGATCAGCTATTGAATTTTTTTTTAATTACAAAGTAAATTATTAATTTCAAACCACACTGCTATTATCTGAAAGCCACCATATTATGGATCTGGCTGATTCAATAGCATATACTCCTCTATGGCCACTTGGTATTATTTGATTCAATTGTAAACAAAACACATGTGGTTAGTCAGATTTGGTTAGCCCATTTGCAAAGGGTTAATGACAGCAATATTTAGTTTCTTATATTTCTCTATTTTTATCAATATTCTAATAAAAGTAACAAATTTAACACATTAATTTTTTTAATAACACATCATGTTGTGTTGAAAACTGTATACAATTTTTTAATAGATACACACACATAGGCTCCTATCAAGGTTGACAATGAATGTAACATTTTTTTTTTTACAGTTACTAGTTATGGGTGAATGGTTTTCACCTTATTCACCTATTTTCTACTGCTATTTTAACATGCCAGAGACAAGACATTTTATTAAGATAACTGGCAATGGGACAGGATTCAGGAAGAAATAGGTTCATGCCTTTCCTAAAGATATTACTGCATATAATCAGCTTCAGCTAAAATACTAATGTCCAGCTACTCTATTGACCTTTGTGCTTACTGTTTTAGTTTCCATGATGATAATCATTAGGCTAGTTTGCATCTTAATATAAACTGAAGTGCCAAAAAAAAATGACAGCAGTAGAATTTGTAATTTTACCCTCCCCTACTTGTAAAAATACATATGCTGGATTATGTATGTGTGATATAATAGGTAAAAAGGTAGTGTAGCTGTGAGAGTTTTGGTATGTGGACAGGATTTAACACCATTTCATAAAAGAATGAGTGTTTGAACTAGAAAGATGGAGAACTTGATGCCAAGGATGCACTGCTCTGTTTTTCTCTGGCAACAGTAGTAAAGATATACAAGGAATTTATGAATTCCAGATATCAACAGCATGTAAAAACTGCAAGCACCCACAAATGATGTTAAAAAAAAAAAATTGAGACCACTGGTAATTGAAAAGGATGAAAGATTTTATAAATTCCAAATGATGGTAATGCTAACTGTTCAGTTAATGTTTCCTGAAAAGAGAATAGCTAATTTTACCATTATTTATTGCACTATTCCATATTTGGGATACACTCATTTATAAAACAAAAAAAAAGTAAAGAACCACTGTTTGGTACAGATTGTCTTGAGCTATACACTGTATGACATATCTTTATATGTGATGACCTGAGTTGGATCTAGCTCAGATATTATTAGCAAGTAAATAGTTTAAAGGACTTATTCAACATATTTTAACCAAACACAATGTTCAAATTCTTACAAAAATTTAAACTATACAACAAGATATTCCTAATACTTACACGTGTGTGTGTGTGTGTGTGTGTGTGTGTGTGTGTGTAAGTATTTGCATGTATATAAAACCAATTTCAAAACTTATAAACCTTTGTGATACAATATAACTCACAGGTGTTGAAGTGTTGTTAAATACAGAAAACCCAACATCCTGGGATAAAGAACATTACCATTGGATCATGAATGAATTGTCCTGTTATCTGGTCAAATGAATCATATTTCCAGTAATTTTGAGCAGATGGTCAAATTTGTGTATCAAAGAAAGAATTTAATGGTTCAGCCTGTCCACAGGGTATTGTGCAAGTGGGTGGTGGCTCTGTAACAGTGTTGGGAATGTAATGTTGCTTGCAAGGACCACTAGTGAAAATGGAGGGTATTTTGGCAGGTGTTACATATACTGATATTGTTGTAGGCCATTTGCACCATACATTTCGCATGACTGCTTGGTGAATACCAGGTGCTGTAAAATTTGGATGTGCAAGTGGTGTAATGGATAATGGCTTGGAATTGTTAATCAGAGAACAGAGTTCTAATTCAATTGGCTCAAAGACTTAAAAAGGTGTGCCAGTAAGTCTGTAATCTGATAATTATTAATTGTATTTTGATTGTTGATGTACAGGTGGACTGGGCCAGAAGAAAACTGAAAAGCTTGATTGGATTGAGATAGAAAACTATAAGAACAGGTTTACATAGAAAGTCAGATTAAATAAAGAAACTGTGGAAATGAAAAATATATATTCTGATCTGAAGACTGCTTGAGACATGAAACTGAGAGCTACCATTTAGTATTGATTCCTATGGCCACACTGTCTATCTATATCTATCTATCATATATATAATGAATGGATCAATAAGTCCATTGCTTGACACATTATTAGCTGAATTTAGATCTAAAAATTTTACACACACACACACACACACACACTCTGAAAAGTTCTTGGCTTAACCAAAAAAGGGATTTTAAAAAAAATTTGATTTTTGGAAAGTGGTTTGGGCCAAGAAATTCTCACCAGTTCAAGTATGTGAATTTTTATGCATTCTGAAATTAATTCAGAATTGCTTTTAATATTAAAAAAAAAATCAATTATAAATTAAAAAATGCAGAACAGGTAAAGATATTTCTAACATAAGAAAATTCTATACATTCTTTTCACTGATAAAAGTATAAGCAACATTTTTGTCAACATTGTTGCCTGTGCTTCTCTGCCATGTATTTAACTTGCCTTGACCTATTCAACTTTTTTTTCTGCTTTGGTTGGCTTGCCTCTCTTTACAATAGCAGATGAAAGAAATAAGGTTTAAAATATAGAAGTCAGAATAACCATGTTTAATAAAATCTGAGCATTGAAATGAATTGTATTCAATAGCAATTTTTGGTGAGTCTTCTTGCTTTTCATCACCACTCTTTATTTAGATGAGTTTGAATTCCAGTCGACTTTGTTACATTCAGATACACACAAATACCCTTGGGAAAGGAATGAATCTATCCTTCCCCTCTCCCCGCCAACAGCTTTAGGCTGAATAGCAAAACAGACTGGGTCCTGTAGCTTTGGTTAGCAACCAGTCTACTGAAGAAAGAAATGGTAACCTACTGCAGGAAAATCTGCCTAAGTCAGTCAGAAATCAAGAGACATGATCACCCAATTGTGTATAACACTTAACTGATCTCCTAAGTGTAAAATTA